AGCTGTCTCAGGGGCAGGGTGCCCTAGGTGTTTCATAGCTGGCCCCACCTGCTGCTGCTGCTACCCTAGGCTGTGAGCCATTTTTGAAGGTGACTCCCAGGATAACTTTAATCTTTTCAGGCTCTTTGGTTAACCTGGAAGCATCTGTGGCAACAGTAAGCAAGCAAACCATTTGGACGTTGGACTTGTGTTACAGGTTGTCCTTTACTCCAGAAGCGTGTCATGTTTGCATCATCGTTTTTTATGGGCAGATAAAAAATGCCCATAGATAGCTCTCTGCTGTCTTGGCTCCTAGGCCAAACTGTAGATAGAAGGACCCAGTTTACAGAGCTTTCCTTTGTATTTTGTCCTTTTTTGAGCCTCACTACAGAGTAGGGAGATAGTTAAAGCAAGCAACAACCCCATTTTATGGACAAGGGTATAGAGGCAGAGGTGAGGTAAGTGGCTTTCCCAAAATCAGAGCCATGGGGCCTCATAGAGGATTGTTCTGAAAGGAAATGAATGTTCATGACGTTCAGCAGAGCAGTCACCCAGCTTTTAATGTTCTGAGTTCACAGAGGTGGGAGAGACCAGATGCTGACCTTGAGGGCTGGACATTCTAGCTCATGGAGTCTCTCTTTACCACATGCTATTGGGGCAGCAGCACCAGTCCCAAGGAAGAATATCAGAAGGATGAATCTAGATTTTCCACGACTCCTCCTGACCCCATATTTTAGAGGGGAAGGCAGGTAGAGTTGTATCATATGCAGAGAAGCTCGGATGTTGTGGTGAATTCTCTGGCTGAGAGAGACCTTCAATCTTTTTTAGATATGGAAATGGAAGCCAGGGAGCCTTTGTGACCAGCCAGCTGTTTGGTGGCAGAGAGGGGACTGACTTGCAGCCCTGGACCCTTTCCTTTCATCGTACCTCTAAGTTTAAATGTTACATGCCTTGTGAGGATGGATGAGTGCCAGCTTTGAACATGAGGCTTAGTTCCAGGCTCCTCTTTAATCATAATTTTTTTCCAAAATTTTTTTGGTAAAATACACATAAAATGAAATCGATCGTCTTAACCAGTTTTAAGCATGCAGTTCAGTGGCAGTAAGTGCATTCACACTGTTGTACAGCTATCACCTCCATCCGTCCATCTCCAGAGCTCTTCTGGCAAAATTGAAACTCTGTACTCACTAAACACTAACTGTTATTTCTTCTCCCAGCCCCTGCCAACCAGCATCTACTTTCTGTCTGGGGAAGAAAAGTACCAAAGGAATACTCAAGTGAGATAGATTCTTCTCCTTCCCCTCCTCCTCCTCCTCCTCCAAGTTCTTGTCTGTGTGTTCCTCTAGGGGTAATGAATAGTTAATTTGTTCTGAAGTGTTTTTTCTTTTCACTTGATCTAAAGTCACAATTCAAGGATAAGTTTTATTTTTTTAATTCTGTGTTCAAAGCAGATCCCTTCTTAAAATGAAGAGATGTGCATAGGTAACCCTTTCTCTGCAGTAACTGGGTTCTCCCATTCTGAGCAATACCTGGGTTGTAGGGCTTCCCTTTTCTCTGTATTACTTCTGAAGCACTAACTCTTGGCCTAGCCTTGCATGTAAACACTCTACTGACTACCCTCTGTTCATCTTTTTTTCTTTGTAGAGCTCCCATCGTCATTTGTCATTATCCCCATCTGTTCTTCGCTTAATCAGGTCTTAGGCTTCATGGTGGAATTGGTCCTTTGGCCCAGGTAGCTGCTTAAACAATAAGGGAGGAGTCAGTTGTTTCTTTAAAACAAAACAGGAGCTCATCTGTATGCATTTTCTTCCCAGTATTATATGGGCTCCTCCCCACAGTATTCATGAGTTTGGCAAGCATTTGTTTCCTGCCTGTCAGGTGCCAGGCCCTGTTGCCCTCTCTTTTCCTAAGTACCCTGTTGAGTCTGGTGAGGCGAAACAGATAAACATGTAGATTTATTAACCTGTTAGAGGTATAGTCATAGCAGGGTGCTCAGGACACTTGGGATGTAAGAAGGGGGTTAGTCCTACTGGAGGTGGGCATGGTAGGAAGTGTCAGAACTCCTCCAGGAGATGCCCCTTGTGCTGAGCCCTGGAAGTGATTGTATTCCTGGCAGGAGGAGCAGTTAGGTTTATTTGAATGTGAGTTTGTTGAGGGAGGATAGAGGCGGTGTGCAAGAAAACCTTGCTACATTAATTTTATTTTACATTTTTATCTATTTGAATACGTAATACAGGTACACAGTACATGGCTCAAGGAGATTAAAGGGGAATATGTACAGTGAAAAATGAGTTCTTTTCCTGTTAATCACTCACTTTTCCTCCCCGAAGGCAGTCGTTAGCTACCAATTTCTTACGCATCATTCCAGAGAGAGATTTTCCAGGCATGCGTGTGTGTATATGTGTATCCCTTTAAAAATACATGCATACTCACAAATGGTTTTCTTCACGTGCTAATTTTGGAAGTCATTCCATATTATATGAGTACAGACTGACCTGCCTAGTTCTTTTCAAACCAGTGCATAGTATTCCATTACATGTGTGTATGACAACTCGTTTAACTCGTTTCACTTCAATCTTTTGCCGGTACAAAGGATGCAGTGAATATCTTACATCTACATCATTGCTCATGTGACTTTTGAGGACAGGTTCTAAAAGCAGAACTGATAGGTTAGAGAATATGTGCATTTTGGGGACAGATGTCAAATTGCCCTCAAAAGAGCTCCACATTAATTGTAAAATACTAAATATAAGATCCTTTACCACTTGGTGCCCCCCCCCCACCCGACTCCAAAATCCTTGCCAGAGTGATCTTCCTAAATGAATTTGGTCTTATAACTTCTCTGTTTATAATCCTGTAAGCGCTACAGAGTTTTCATGGTAAAGTTTAAATTCCTTAGCCTAGCCCTTAACTCTGCCTCTGCCAAGAGTACTGTGCTCCCATTGTTCTGTTCCATTTGTATTTGGTACTTTTTTCCTTCTTTTTCACTAACACCAGCGTCAGCATCACTTCCTCCAGGTAATCTTTCTTGATCGCCTTCACTTGTGCACAGCACATCTAAGCACCACTGATCCGGCGCCATCCATTCACTACAGAAGTATTTGTGCACGTGCTGTGATGGGACACAACCAGGCATTATTATTCTCAGTGATCCGTGGGCTGTTGCCTGCAGGGGATGAGGACTACTTGGTGGAGCTGCCTGCGGTCAATGAGTCAAAAATGGCAGCACCAAAGGGCCTGTTGCTAACTGGCCGTACTCTGTAGCCTCTTCTGATCTTGGTTTTGGCATCTATCGAATGAAGAGGTGAAACCTGGTGACCTCTAAGGTCTTATTAAGCTCAGTCCTTATTAATAATTACAACAGCAATAGCAGGCAGTGTTCACTGAGGACTTGCAAAGTGCCAGGGACTTGCCAGGTGTTTTGTCTGATAATCTTTACATCAAACCTGTGAAGACATATGGTTAGTATTCCCATTTTACAGATGAGGAAGCTGAGGCTAAGAGAATGATTTGGTCACGTGGTCGTAATAGAGGAAACAGATTTGAATTTTGGCATTCTAACTCCATTGTTCTTAGCCACCTAAATGTATATACGTTCCACATATTTACACGTACACAGTTTTGTGTACTGTTTTGGGTCACTTACTGACTCTACCCCCAGACTTCTTCAGGAACCATCTGTTTTCTACAGCTTTAAAGGCTCAAGTTAGAGCCTAGGTAAAAGCTGTGGACAGAAGACTGCTATAGTCATAGCTTTTTGGTGGTAGTGAGTAAAGTTAGCTTTGTTCTTGAACCCCTGGCTCACGCTCATTGAAGAGTTTCATAGCTGTTTTTCCTTCATACTGAGACAACTCATGCTGCTGTTTGGAATAACTCTCTTTAGCAGGGGATGTAGGCCTGAATCAAGGCTTCAGACATAGATGGAAGGCAGGGCTGGTTAATATCCCTGGCAGAATCTCAGGGGCATCCTTTATTAGGGTTGTAGATAGCAGGCTCCCTTATCTATTTACATGAAGCCTTATTAATGGAGAAGGAGGTGTGTGTATGGAATTTAAAAAGGGAGTGTAATCTTATTTGGAATACCTGTTATAAACAAGGATAAATGAAATCAGATGAGTTAACTAAAATATAATAGGCCTGTATCAAATCTTCAACTTCTCTGAAGGCATGTAGAAAAATAATCCCTGAAAGTCTTGACCCCGGATTTTTTTTTTTTTTTTTTCTTTTTAAAGACTGGTTCCTAGTTGTCTTAAGTCATAGTCTGAACGGGGTTGAGGGGGGCAGTTAACAATTACAGACCGTCCCCCCTCTAGAGACGGTCCTCCCTCTAGTTGTTGTCAGGTACAATCAACAAGTGTGGCCTCTGGGGTCCCAGGTGTGTTGGGTGAGCCTGGGTTAATTGGTCCATTTTTGAGAGTCATGGCTGTGGAGTCCGTGTCAGATCCTCAGGGGCTCATCCAGCCTCTGGCAGCTGAGCAGGCCTGGCCAGGGCTCTTGGCTCCCACTGCTGCAGTCCTTCTCTAGGCGGTGTAATTCTCCCTTTAAGACACGTGTTCTCTATTTTTTTTTCCTTGTGATTGGTTGAACTCGCTCTGAGTCCAGGTGGCAAAGGCAAAGCCCGACTCAGGGGTGTAGCTCTGTGTGTCAATAGCTGCCTCTCCCCTCCTCTCTGCTGGAGCCTCGGACATGGTGGGGCAGAGCCGGGCAGTTTCCAAAAGCTCTGCTGTGCCCGGCAGATCTCCAGATGAGCCCGTGCTTGTGTCCTTGTCCTGTTGCATGGATCTGGCTCCTGGCTGTGGACGCTCGTGGCACTTTGCTGCAGGCCTCGGCATTTCCCCCAGCACAAGTTGCAAGGCCACTCGGGCGGCCGTCCTTTCCTTGGCGGCAGGAATTCACTTACTAGAATTTGCGAGCTTCGTGTGACTATATAGCTTCCTTATCAAAGTGTCTACCTACAACAAACTTAAGGCTGAAGCTTTCACTTATGTCTTTGTTTTTTGTTGTTTTGTTTTTTTTTATAGGTAAATCTACCCGTGGCTGACTTTAGAATTCTTACTTCTGGCTTTTAAATTTTTTTTTTTTTTTTAAATAACTTGGACGGATAAAAGATGTGCCATGGCAGGATAGCACCAAAGAGCACCGCAGCGTTGGCCGTGGCCTCCGTGGGACATGGAGTGTTCCTTCCGCTGGTGATCCTTAGTACCCTCCTTGGAGACGGCCTTGCCTCAGGTGGGTTCGGGCCTGCCTCTCTGTGGGGGAGGGAAAAGGCTCACACCATTGTTTCTCCCAAAGCTGGGATAGGGGACTCTCCACCTAGAAGCCAGTTGCAGGGAGCCTGTTGTGCTGTGGTAAAGCAGGGGGCCAGTTAGGGAGGTGTGGCAGTTGGGGCCTCCTGAACCAGCTGAAGGGAGGGGTGTGTAGGAACGTCCTGAGGGTGAGGTTATGGGCTCTCTCCCTACAGCTGGAGTCAGCAGGGAGGATGCAGCTGTAGCGTTTCAGAGTAGGTTTGGGAATCAGACTGCCGGTGTTCTGAGTCCAGTGCTGCTGTTGCTGGCTCTGGGACCTGAGCAGATCTCACTTCTCTAAGCCTCAGTGTCCTCAGCGACAGAAGGGGGTGATACTAGCCCCTACCTGGGGACTAGTCTAACACAATTGGTGTTTCATGATTGTTAGTTATTGTTTGTTTCTTGTCTCTTTATGTTTTCTCTCAGAATAAGTAGAGTTGAGGTCTTGTAATTTAGTGAAACCAGGACCTGGTCACTGACACTCTAAACTTCGTGATCTCGGCACGCCACTTAGCCATTCCGTGGCTCAGTTTCTCCATTTATGAAACGAAGGAGTTGACCCAGATACCTTTAAGGTCCTATCCAGTTCCCTCCTTCTGTATTTTCGTGATTCTGAGGACTTTCTGATTGAAGCCGGTGAGGTGCAGGAGTCCTAGCAGCAGCTGGAAATGCAGCCGTGAGCCTTTTTGAGTTTGTATGATCCTTATTGCCTTCCACAGTGCTCTGAAGACCTTTCCAGGTTCTGTTCATGTGGTCCTCTACACCCGGCGTACTTCTAGGGAAGGGCATATTTGGGTTTGTATCATAGGCCTCTGGGTGATGCTAGAGAACCTCCATAGAGCCTCTGTATTTGCAAGCACCAGTAGGTTCTCAACTGATGATGATTTTTTTTTTTTAGATTTTATTAATTTATTTGACAGATCACAAGTAGGCATAGAGGCAGGCAGAGAGAGAGGAAGGGAAACAGGTTCCCCACTGAGCAGAGAGCCCAATTTGGGGCTTGATCCCAGGAACCTAGGCTCATGACCGGAGCAGAAGGCAGAGGCCTAACCCACTGAGACACCCAGGTGCCCCGATGATGATTTTTAAAAAAGATTCTATGTATTTATTTACTAGAGAGAGCATGCATCACACAAGTTGGGGAGGAACAGAGGGACAGTGACAAACACACTGTGCTCAGTGGGGAGCCCAATGTGGGACCTGATCCCACAACTGTGAGATCACGACCCAAGCTGAAATCAAGAGTTGGACGCCCAACCGACTGAGCTGCATGCACCCCTCAACTAATTATGATAGTAATGTGGCCCCTACCAGACTTTATTAGATATATACAGATGGTAGTTTTCTTTGGACAGCGTTCCCTAGAGAGGGATCTTAGCTTGATTCTGGAAGGGGACTTTGGAAGGATAGGGGCAGTGTGGTATAGTGCAGTGTATAGAGTCCCCATAGCTCAGTGCTCTCTCTCATTCTCTGTCATCTCCCACCACCCACTTACCCAACACATACAGATAATGGTGCAGTCTCATCTACGATTTTTCTTTTGAGCTGCTGGGAGAAATAGTGACGTGTCTCTTGTTGCACTGTAGCCTTTTCCACCACCCATGTACTGATCTCCTTGTCCATTGCCTCCTCTTCACCCTGCTTTGACACTTAATTTAAACCTTTGCCATAAAGCCTAAGACCTCTTTGGTTGTGAGGAGCTCCTAGTACAGTCAAGGAGGCCGCTAATGATTGGGACCCCACAGTGTGGGCATTGTGGCTATATGAAGTTCCAGAGGAAAAAGTGGCCAGGATCCACCAACATACAGCCAGGTGAAGCAGGGCTTATGTTCCCAGGGCTTGCAGCCCAAGCCAGAGATGCTCTCTAGAAGTGGTAGTCACAGAGCCACAGGATGTGAAGACCCTGTCTTGTTCACCACTGTAGTCTAGAGTAGAAGTTGGCAAGCTATGGTCCCTGGACCAAGTCCTCTATGCTGCTTTTGTATGGCCTGTGAGCCAAGAATCGTTTTATATTTTTAAATGATCGGGAAAAAATCAAAATAATATTTCATGTATATATAAAAATTCTAAGTTCACATTTCAGTGTCCATAAATAAAGTTTGATTGGAACATAGCAATATTCATTCATAATATATTTTGTCTGTGTCTGTGTTTGTATTATAGTGGTAGTGTTGGGTAGTTGTGACATAAACTGTGTCACCCCCAAAACCTAAAAGTATTTAGACTTTAAAACATTCAGCCCTTTATTGAAGAGATTTTCCGCCCTGCCCCTAGCCCAGAACAAATGGTGCTCAGTAAGTATGTGCATAAGTGGAATGACTGTCGGAGCTAGGATTTTAGAGGTCATGTACTCGCCTAGGGTCCTACGGCCAGGATCAGAACCTGGCTTAGTGCCTGGTATGCTACCAAGACTGTCTTCTTCCCAGGCTGCATTAGGGGAGCTGTCCCTTTGTGTGACCTGGCAATAGTAGGGTAGAACGTCTGCCTCTGGTTTCTGAAGTCTTTAGCCTCTTTAGCTTCATTAAGCCATTCCACCTACTGCCACCCTCCTTTTTATGGGCTCCACCCTTGCCTCCTCCCATTTCCCACCCCATTTTCCAACTACCCACACCTTCCCAACTTTCCATCCAACGTCTGAATTCAATTATCAGGGACTGATGGTTTCAGACTGGCTGGATAAAGGGATTATTATTCTCCAATGTGGAAAAACGTATGTCTGTAGTGTGGGCTCAGAGCAGGATGGAAAAGTTGGCTCTGTAGTTTTCTTCCCTTCCCCATCTGCACAGAATCCTCCCTCCCCTGCCACCCCACCCCCAGGTCTTTTCTACTCCCCGTAAAATGTGTACTGGCACAGAGCAGGATGCAGGCAGGGGAAGGGGTGGCCCCATTACTTAGATCCAGTGTACCATGGCGCTGCCAGTGCGTTTCCCTCTCTGCAGTGGCTTCTCAGGAAGGAAGGCACCCACTCCTTGGCCTGAAACCCGAGCACACCTGTATGGCTGTGCCTGCCATAAGAAGCTTGCCAGACAGGCTTGCCAAGAAACCAAGACTTTCAGATACTCTGAGGTCAAGGAAAGGCAGTTCAGTTCAGGAAAGGTTCCCTTTTCCTCTTGGTATGTATCTTACCAGCTCCTGTAGCTGCACCTGAACACCCACTCCGGAAGCATTTTAAAAGGAGGTGCTTGTAAATTACACAGTCTTTGTTATCCAGTGGGCTCTAGTAGACCTTGAATGTGCTTCTGGGAGAGTCCCACTGGACATAGGGAAGTGGGCATCCTGTAGGGGGGCAGTTCATCAGTGTAGTCTCTGGTTATAAAATATCACAGTCACCTTAGTCTTGGTCATAATTTCTCAGGTGTAGAAAAGAATCATGTAGGACAGGCACTAGAGAATTCTGGTGCAGAGTTATGCCATGATCAAGGTTCAGTTTTCCATCTTGGTTTCCAGAGGCAGTAGGTCCAGCTTCCCCTTTGGTCATTCCTTAAACAGAGATGGAGAAAATTATTAGAAGTCTCCTTTTGGGGAGTGACAAAAGGAAGCGCTTTTTTTTTTTTTTTTTTTTTTAAGATTTTTATTTATTTGACAGAGAGAGAGATCACAAGTAGGCAGAGAGACAGGCAGAGAGAGAGGGGAAGCAGGCTCACCACCAAGCAGACAGCCCGATGTGGGACTTGATCCCAGGACCCTGAGATCATGACCTGAGCTGAAGGCAGAGGCTTAACCCACTGAGCCACCCAGGTGCCCCAAGGAAGCATATTTTATCTTCACACCTGGTTCACACTGTGTAGGCAGACCAGAATTTAAAAAAAAAAAAACAAAAAAACACACAACATACACACACACACACACACACACACACACACACACACACACACATATACACATACATACACATATATGTATATATATATAAGCTGGGTACTCTGGATATACACACACACACACACACACACACACACACACACACACACATATATATATATACATATACATACATATATATATATGCAGAGTACCCAGCTTGCCTCTCTTCTTGGGCTAGAGAGGAATTAGGGTCCCGACTGTGTAGCAGCCTTTCTTAGATCTCACAACTCCTTCCCTTTACCTGTGATTTTTTAAAAAATATTTTATATATTTATTTGAGAAAGAGCATGAGCAGCAGGGGGAGGGTCAGAGGGAGAGGGAGAAACAGACTCTTTGCTGAGCAGGGAGCCCAGTGTGGGACTCCATCCCAGCCTCTGGGATCACGACCTGAGCTGAAGGCAGATGCATAACTGACTGAGCCCCCCAGGTGCCTTTACCTATGATCTCAAGAAACTTTATCTAAAAAAAAAAAAAAAGAAACATGTTTTATGACCTTAGGCAAATCGTTTGACCTCTTTGTGTCTCCTTCAAAACAGAAACAAAATCCTTGAGGATGTGAGGTTGGTGTTGTGTAGCCTAATAAAAATGATTGGAGGATACTTGGCATATAAAATGTGTGCTGTAATTACCAAATAATGACAACAACAGAGTTGGTATGTGACCTGCTGTTGAGTCATGCTGGGCAGGAGATTTTTATGCAGATGACATTCTTTGCTGTCTTTAAAAAAACAAAACTAAAGATGCAAAGTCATTTTTTGTGTTCAGGATAAGGAAGTGGGACCAGGTGTCTGACTTGACCAGTTGAGGAAGGACTGGTCTTTTTGAAACCCCTTTGCCTTCCAGAAAGGTCTAGTGTGATGGTCTCAACCGGGCTGCTCGCTGACTCATGTGAAAAGCTTTTGATTTTCATTCTCTCCCTTTCCTGAGGGGATTTACTGGAAGAAAAAACTCTGTATTTTACTTGTTTCTGACTTGTAATTTTTTTAAGATTTTATTTTGAGAGAGAGAGAGAAGAGCGAGGAGGGGAGGAGCAGAGGGAGAGGGAGAAGCAGAACTCCCAATGTGGGGAGAAGCAGGGAG